TTGTGCGCTTTCTAAGGCTGCATGGAGCCTCAGGCACTGTGCTCAGCAGCTGCTGGCTGTGAGCACTGTCACTATAGGAATATATGTCCTATAGGAATACCTATAGATGTGCCTTGCTATGCAGTTAGATATTTGCGTCCTTTCTCAGACTGAGGGTGGGAAGGGGGGAGGCTGAAGATCTGTCAGCAGGTTGGCATTGGCAGAGCCCTCTCTCTGCTTGAGTTAGGGCAGATGTCTATGTGTTGCTGCAGCAGTCTCCTGCAGTTCTTTCTGGTTTGCTTCTTCATTGCTTTTTGTACAAGTTGAGTTGTAAGAATGTTCCTTTGTCAGGATAGCTGTATCTGTATGCTCTGTGGGTGTTGACAAAGCAGTGCTTGTTAACAAATGTGCGTTCTCAACCAAGGTGATGGCAGTTATGTTGGTATTGTTACAGTAAATAGTGTAACACTCATGATCCCTGCTTAAGGGTTTAATGTATTGTCAATACGTCGTGTCCTATATAGAAACTTTACTGTAGCTGTTTTTTACAGGTGGCAGTGCATTTTTTGTACTCAGTTTCAGTGTTTACACAGAGTATACTGTTGTGGTTTAACTGACAGTAACTGAACACCACATAGCCCTTTACTCACTCACTCACTCCTTTAATCTGAGTGATTCTTACTGTTGATAAGGCAAAGAAGTGATGTCATCTGGATCTTGGGAATTGGTATTATCATCCAAGTTAATTCCATCCATCATCTCCAGCACAGCTAGTTCCCTCAAGTACTGGATACCTTTCTCTATGGTGATCTACTTGCTGGGTTACATAGCAGGACTTGAAGGACTTGAAGGGATATCTTTAACTCATGGCTGACAAGAGTCACTGCTGTAGGGTAAAGGCCTGTGTCCCTTTTCCAATTGCTTTGTCAATGTCACTTTCCCTGGAAAGAGATTACAACTGCTTTGCCTCACTGCCTGCCAAGTCCAGGCTGCTGGCCCCACCATCCCAGCACCAGAGCAGCCAGGTGGCAATGTGCTTCCTGGGATGAGAGCTGAAATCTTTTAATATATCTTGAAGCTCACCCAGCATTAGGGGTCAGGTGCTTTCTGTCTCTTTTTGAGTTCATCTACCTCCTCCCCTTCTTCCAGCTGTTGAACCAGTGATGGCCCTGCTTCGTCATCTTTTTCCATCTGAGTAGGAGCTTTTTTCTTACTTAATGACCTGAGCCATTTTTTCCCTCATAGAATTATTTAGAATCATTAAGGTTAATCATTAAGGACCTGGGGGTGTTGGTTGATGCTCAGCTGAACATGAGCCGACAGTGTGCCCAGGTGCCCAAGAGGGCCAATGGCATCCTGGCTTGCATTAGAAAGAGTGTGGCCAGCAGGAGCAGGGAGAGGTGATCATCCCCCTGTACTCAGCTCTGGTGAGGCTGCACCTCGAGTACTGTGTTCAGTTTTGGGCCTCTTACTACAAGAAAGACATTGAGGCCCTGGAACATGTCCAGAGAAGGGCAACGAAACTGGTGAGGGGTCTGGAGCACAAATCTTATGAGGAGTGGCTGAGGGAGCTGGGATTGTTTAGTCTGGAGGAGGCTCAGGGGAGACCTCATTGCACTCTACAACTTCCTGAAGGAAGGTTGTGGTGAGGAGGGGTTTGGCCTCTTCTCCCAGGCAACAAACAGGACCTGGGGAAATGGCCGCAAGTTGTACCAGGGGAGGTTTAGGTTAGACATCAGGAAAAACTTCTTCTCTCAGAGAGTGGTCAGGCACTGGAATGGCTGCCCAGGGAGGTGGTGGAGTCACCATCCCTGGCAGTGTTCAAGAGGTGCCTGGATGAGGAGCTACGAGATATGGTTTAGTTTGTGGTAGCAATGGTAATGAGAAGACAGTTGGACTAGATGATCTTAGAGGTCGTTTCCAACCTTGTGATTCTATGATTCTATGATAACGTTGGAGAAGACCTCTAAGATCATCTAGTCCAACCATAGTTGCTAATTACAGCAGCTGAATGCTGCCTAGCCCTTTGGTCACTCCCCCTCCTTCCAGTGGGATGCAGAAGAAAATTGAAAATAAAGAATAGAACTTGTGAATAGTTTTTATTTCAATTTACTAAGAAAAGGAAGAGAGAAATAACAGTAATGGTTATATATATATATATACACAAAAAAAAAAAAAGTGATGTGCAGCGCAATTGCTCACCACATGCCAACTGATGGCCAGCCAGTCCCTGAGCAGCAGCCCTTCTCTCAGCCAACTCCCCTCAATTTGATAGTATTTTGTATGTTGTCATATGGTATGGAGTATCCCTTTGGCCAGTTTAGGTCAACTGTCCTGATTTTATTTTTTTCTTTTCCCTCCTTTCCCCTAGCCCTTTACTGGCAGGACAGTATGAGAAGCTGAATCATCCTTGGCTCTGTGCAGCACTGCTTAGCAACAACTAAAACATCGATGTCTTATCAACATTGTTTTTCTCCTAAAGCCAAAACATAGCATCATACCAAACACTATGAAGTAAAACAACTCTGCCCCAGCTGAAACTAATATCTACCTCTTTTCCATACCATTTACACCATGCTCAGATCCCACAGTTTTGCATACATCTTAACTAATTACCATCATCTGTCTTGCTTTTTGATGTATACACACAGATATAGTTCCATGGTCTATTGGCCATCCATGTAAATTGTCCATGGAGTTCATTTAGTCCTTGACTTGGGGCTCCATCTGTCATAAGTCCTTTGGGGCAGGAGGGATGACTCAGTCTTGGGTTACTTCATGCAGAAGCTAGTTCTGGTTTGTTTTTTTCAGCTTGCGTAGTTCTTACTGTACTACTGTTAACAACCACAGTAATTATGACATGAAGTATTATGTAGCGATTAACATATTATAACTTAAATTATTGGCTGTTCACACCTAGTATCAAATCCCCTTGAGGTACACACCATATGTGCTATTTGACTTAACTCTTTGGCCTTCACAGAAGTCCATTTAATTTGGAGTATTTTGCTTTGCTGTCAAAAATGCTGGAACTAAATGGATGAGGTAGAAAGTATTAAGTTAGTTTTAATTAACAGGTGTGCCTAATCACGTGACACAAGGATTGTCTAAGGAGGTGGGAATTAACACTTCATGACATGTTTCTAAATGTCATTCTTAATTGTATCACTAGGATTGCTAACTGTCTGTGTCAGGTAGGAATGTTATTTTAGCATGTACCAAGGATATAGTAAGAAAATGAATGTGCTGATTCTATTTAGGGAAGGTATTAAAAAACAAGAACAACAAACAAAAAAACACTTTAATTTTATCTCGTTTTCACAGATGTGGCCCTTGTTTAAGGATAGCCCCAGCTTTCAATGCTCTAAGTAACAAATATCTTCAGGCAATGTTTTTGGAAGTGGATGTGCATCAGTGCCAGGTTGGTATTCCAAAACATAATATCTCTTTTCTAAGAGAAAGATTAGACAATGTGGTGACTGAGCAACTGGAAGGAAAGCTGCTCAGACAGTATAACTGTCCGTTTCTGTGTTTGGTGAATGACAGGTAATTGTGTTGTGAAACTCCAAAATTATTATATTCACAGAGATGTGAACAAACGTTCAGGAAAGTATTCTTGCGGTTAGCACTTGGATATCCTTTGTTTAAATGGTGTGCAGGCAGTTCAGCAGTTCCTGCTGTATGTGCTATTTAGATACACAGTTAAAGATGCCACCAGTATGAATTAAGATTAGCAAATTTTTTCAAACTCTGCAATAATTATTGACTAAAATCATAAGTGCAATAAACTGATGATTAGCGGAACTAGATTCCTCTCAAGTACTACACCACTGTTTTTTTTAACAGACAACAGTGTTGCAGATGAGCTGTTGATTGACTTAAGGGTCATTCGCAAAAATCAGCAGTGGTATGTTGAAAGGCAGTTTCTTGAGTTACTGCGAATGATAATAGAGAGAAGTGAATATAGAAGTAGCAACACTGCAAGGGACACTAAACTATGGAAAGCTTTGGAAAAAGTACTAAAGGTGCTTAACAAATACAGGTAGAAATCAAATGGAAACCACCTTCTACAGCTTTCATGGTGTGCGTGAGTGTATCTTTGGAAAGGGAAGGAATGCAGGTGTAAAGAATGCTTGAAATGCAGTAAATGAAGTAATCCTCCTGATGTACTGACAAACCTTCTGGTAACACAAAATCCATTGTAAGAATGCCTAAATGTATTAAAGATTAGGAGGATCTGAAGAATTAAAACAAATGAAGTTATTGTCTGACTTTTGAAGATGATTATAAAATAACAAATATTGTTTGCAAACTTGGGGTTGATGTAGCTTAATTAATATTAATGTGTACATTCTCATCTAGGTGGAATCAATGTTTGTCTCATATTGGTGATAATCTGTTAGGTAATCCTAGTAACCAATTTATGCATTCTAGGGTACAGCTGCTACCAATAATATATCAGCAACGCCAACATTTCTGTTTTTTCGCAACAAAGTACGAATCGACCAATATCAAGGAGCAGATGTTCTAGGGTTAGAAGAAAAAATTAAGCAGCACCTGGAGAATGATCCTGGAAACAATGAAGATACAGATATCCCTAAAGGATATGTATGTGTGTGTGTGTTTTATTTTTAAACATTTAGGTAGCTTGAACTGAAAGTTAACCATACTTACTAAATATTTTACAACTCTGTAATGTACATATGTTAAGAAAAATCTCTGCACATAGCCCTTAGCAATTTAAATAATGAATTTCATGGTTGGTGATGAAGATTTTGCTACAGTTGGATGTTCTTTCTTTCTTCTTCTTGGGCATTGTGACCTGTGAACAGCTGTGGTGTCCCTGTTCATTGCAGGGAATTTGGACTAGATGGCCTTCAGAGGCCCCTTCCAACTCTAATGATTCTATGATTCTATGATCTTCCTTGGTAAAGGACATTGTTAGACATAACTGTCCAAAAGTTGCTCTGGTTCTTCCTTAAGAAGTCCTCTCTGTTATTCATTTGGCAGTAGGTTGATTTGTAGTTTATAGGTTTGTTTGTTTTTTATCTTTCTTGCTCAGCGCTTTTTAAAATAAATGATAAAGAGGATTAAAGAAAAAAATCTTTGAAGGCAGTTTGCCATGAAAATGAAGTGCCATATGTTCTCAGACAAAATGTTTTTTAAACTTTGCATCTAAATCACATAACTGAAACTGAATTTTAACTTTTTTCTAGCAATTTTAAAAATCTGTATTCTTGAATAGATATTTTTTTTAATCATTGCATGGTTTATACGCGCGTTCCAGAAAAATGAAAACTTGGTAAGGATACTTAAAGTTTAGAAATATTTGGTACACTCAGGAAATTATTTCCCTATGTCATGCATGTTTTCTTGTTACCTCAGGACAACTGTGTGCTTCAAATTACAAGCCTGTCTGACAGCTGTCCTAACAAACATGTGAGAACTCTAATGTGACAAAACACTTTACTAGAGCTGTTGTCTTAGGTGGTGTTCTCCAAGCAATCCTTGGTGCAGTATTACTCCTTGAGATTGTCTGTTGTTCTACCAGAAGTATAAACCCAGTTAGGTGAAATATAATTCACCACATAACTAAGTCACGTCACAGTTCAGTGCCGTGTATGTGCATCACTTCACGTTAGAAAATCTAAAATCTTCAATTTGGCTGTGATGAGCATCTGTAGAATTCCAAATGATGTGGAATCCAAAACCAGGAATTTTTGGAAACTATTTCAAATTCATAGCTGACTATATCGGACAAATGTGAGCAGGATGCAAATTCAGCTGGATAGTTCTCATTTAGGTAAACTTCAAGGGCAAAGGTCACTTGAATTTCTAGCAGTTCTGATACTTGTTAACTGTTCCACCATATGCATTGAACTTCAGTTTATATAGCACAGGAGGGGATAGGGGAAAGGTAGTAAGTAGTTTCACTTGGAATAACAGTTCCTAGTGTTAAGGGAAATGGGATTTGGGAAATGAGCTGTATTCTCTAAGCAGCCTGTGTTTGAGTTTAGTTTAGATCGTGAAGCTATAGCCTGAGTTGTAACATGTAGTAACTTTTAAAAGCTAGAATACAGGGCTTTTTCAAGAGGGGGTATATAACTCTTTGGGACCTAATATATGTCTGTAAGAAGAGTGTTTTAGGTTGCCATCCCACGAGTTCCTGTAACTTTCTATTTAAATCCCTGAGTTTTTCTGCGTGGGTTTTGTTTGTTTACTTCAGTGAAGAATTTCATTCCTGCTACTGTCAGGTGAGTTTATGGCAGATATATACAATCAACAATTCTACTGTTGGTGTTTTTTTTTCCTTTCAGATGGATTTAATGCCATTTATCAATAAAGCTGGCTGTGAATGTCTTAATGAAAGTGATGAGCATGGATTTGATAATTGTTTACGTAAAGATTCTACCTATTTGGAATCAGATTGTGATGAGCAGGTAGAGTAAAATTAAGTAGGATATTTTCAGTGTCTGGTCTGCAAATTTTTTTTGAAGAGTTGGCTTTATATCACTGTGGTAGTGTAGGAGTGGGAGACGGTAGGTGGATGGAAGTAAAATTGGTATACAAAGATCACTGTAGCATTCCCAACTTGGTATGCATTTCTGAGGAAAAATTCCAAGCAGAGTAGTGTTTACTGAGTCTTTAAAGTTACAGACTAGTGCATGTGTGGAGTATAAAGAATGTAAATACTTGATTTTATTTTGAAGTTCAGACTTTTACTTAATTATTGTGCTATGTTTGTTTTTTTTTTAAGAATAAAGAAAACAGTATTTAACAGCAACTTTGTCCTTCACAGCTGCTTATTACTGTTGCTTTTAGTCAACCAGTCAAGCTTTATTCTATGAAACTTCAGGGGCCAGATAATGGTGAGTGAGGTATCTTTAATCATACGCTTGAAACGTGAGCTTTCCCCATGTTTAGTTAAAATTTTGAAAAATGACAATATTGTCCCTAGTTCATTTTACCTTCTGCAAATTCCATAACAACTTAATTGAGTTTTATCAAACTAAAAACATACATGATCACACATTACTATTCTGACCGTGTCCGCTGATATCTGGTAGGACACAGATATTCGCTCTGTCTGAACGTGGTGTGAGAAGAACATCTATTCAATTCAAAAATTAAGTTTGAGTGTTACTGAAGGGCGTAGCTTAGTTTTGATGTTTAGTTGATTTAAATTGTGAAATTAAAATAGACATAATATCATACGTGATACAAAAACAATTACTCTTAGAAATTTCATTGGATTTATTATGTGGAATTGTCACTGAAACCTAGTAGTAGTGCAACTTCAGATATCCTTCAATATCTGGAGTGTTGGTGTAGGGTTGGCAGATTTGTAGTTCTAGCATCTTAAGTCCATGCATTCCTTGAGTGGTACCTAGATGCTGCAATAAGCAAGGGCTTCTTGAGCAGCATTTAAAAAAAAAAAAAAAAGTACTTATGTACCTGAATCCCACTTCTATATCTTAACACAGGGCAAGGTCCAAAGTACATAAAAATCTTTATCAACCTTCCTCGATCTATGGATTTTGAAGAAGCAGAAACAAGTGAACCAACTCAAGCCCTGGAGCTAACACCAGATGATATTAAAGAAGATGGCATTGTCCAGCTTCGCTATGTTAAATTTCAGAACGTTAACTGTGTAACTGTAAGTAAACCTCTGGTTCTGTGGTCTGCACAGGCTGAAAACCTCATAGGTGTTTAAAGCATTATGATGTTGATTTCACTGCAAGTGTTCTTAGTTGTTCTCAACTGATGGTATGCTATATGTTCACACTGAAAGAATTTCTGCAGTGTAAGGTGAAGGAAGGCCATGTGTGTGCCATATCTCTGATCTGTTATGTGAGATAAGGTTGATTTTCACTTCTTCGGGAGCTAGCATAATGCTTAATAGAACTTGCATTTTTACTATCATAACTTCTTGAAAGCAATCTTGTCTGCATTCTGAGAGGGGGGAAGCAAGAAATGCAGTTTAAAGAAATCCAGTGCACGTGCAGTTTCCCCTAGTGTAGGTTGTGGTTTAACCTGACAGCTAGCTAAGCACCACACAGTCATTTGCTCACTTCCCTTTTTCCCAGTGAACAGGGGAGAGAACTGGGGGGAGGGAAGCAACAAAGTAGAACTCATGGATTGAGATAAAACTACTTATTAAGAGAAAAGAAAGGGAGGTGGGTGGGAAAAAAGGGCAACAGGACAATTATTTATATATAAAATACACTTTAGGCCATGATAGTCCACCGTTGCCTCCACTCCCTGCTGGACTTTTCCACTGGCCACATGGGACTATTGAATCACAGAATCACAGAATTGTAGGGGTTGGAAGGGACCTCCAGAGATTGTCGACTCCAACCCCCCTGCCAAAGCAGGTTCCCTACAGCAGGTCGCACAGGTAGGCATCCAGGCAGGTCTTGAACATCTCCAGAGAAGGAGACTCCACCACCTCCCTGGGCAGCCTGTTCCAGTGCTCCGTCACCCTCACTGTAAAGAAGTTCTTGCGCATGTTTGTGCGGAACTTCCTATGCTGCAGTTTCCAGCCGTTTCCCCTTGTCCTGTCTCCACTCACCACTGAAAACAGTCTGGCCTCGCCATTCTGCCCCCCACACCTTAGATATTTATAGACCTGGATCAGATCCCCTCTCGGTCTTCTTTTCTCAAGGCTGAACAGACCCAGTTCACTCAGCCTTTCCTCATAGCAGAGATGCTCCAGGCCCTTCACCATCTTTGTGGCCCTCCGCTGGACTCTTTCCAAGAGATCCCTGTCTTTTTTGTACTGGGGAGCCCAGAACTGGACGCAGTACTCCAGATGAGGCCTCACCAGGGCAGAGTAGAGGGGGAGGATCACCTCCCTTGACATGCTGGACACGCTCTTTTTAATGCATCCCAGGATACCATTGGCCCTCTTGGCCACAAGGGCACACTGCTGGCTCATGGCCAACCTGTCGTCCACCAGGACACCCAGGTCCCTCTCCGCAGAGCTCCCCTCCAGCAGGTCATCCCCCAACCTGTACTGGTGCATGGAATTATTCCTCCCCAGATGCAAGACTCTACACTTGCTTTTGTTAAACCTCATCCGTTGTTTTTTTTTGCCCAGCTCTCCAGCCTGTCCAGGTCTTGCTAAATGGCAGCACAGCCTTCAGGCGCATCAGCCAATCCTCCCAACTTCGTATCATCAGCAAACTTGCTGAGGGTGGCCACTATCCCCTCATCAAGGTCATTGATGAAGATGTTGAACAAGACCGGACCCAGCACTGACCCCTGAGGAACACCGCTGGTTACAGGCCTCCAACCAGACTCTGCACCGCCAACAACGACCCTCTGTGCTCTGTCAGTCAGCCAGTTCTCAACCCACCTCACTGTCCACTCATCTATCCCACACTTCCTCAGCTTTGTTATAAGGATGTCGTGGGGGACAGTATCAAATGTCTTGCTGAAATCAAGGTAGACTACATCCACTGCTCTCCCCCCATCCACCCAGCCAGAGACAACATCATGGAAGGCTACCAGGTTGGTCAAGCACGACCTCCCCTTCGTGAACCCATGTTGACTATTCCTGATAACCTCCTTTTCTTCCAGAAACTGAAGGGTGAGTGAGTCTTGCTGGTTACTCCTTGGTTCTCCAGTTGATGAATCAGCTAATGAATGAGAATCAGGGAGTCCCAGTTGATGCAATATTGCCACTGGTGCACTATTATAGTAGTGATTGGCATCTGCTGTTCTTCTACTCTTAGCAACCCCACAACAGAAGGATCCTCTGAGAGACCAGGCAAGGTAGACAGCTGCTTAATGTCCTCCATCTCTAAGGCAGCTCTACCAAAAGCCCACCACTACCTTTTTGGGTCCTTGAAGTACCTTTTCCTAAGGTAATACATACCAAGATTGTGCAGAGCCTCTGGGCCAGTCACAATGAGGTGCTTTTGCCGCTCAATTCCATTTAGGCTCACTTTAGCATCCAATAGATTTCTTGGGATCCCCCTGTCACTCCAGAGATACAGATGGGTTCTGCCCCTTTATAACTTGATGGCATTAGGGTATGTTGTGCACCAGTGTCCACTAGAGTCTCATACTCCTGTGGTTCTGATGTGCAAGGCCATTGAATCCACACAGCCCAATAAACCCAATTGTCCCTTTCCTCCATTCTGGCTGGAGGCAGGGCTGTTCTGGTTATTGTATTAATTACTCATCTCTTGTGTATGAGCACCAGAAAGCTTGCTGTCAGCCTCAGAGATAAGATGGGACCATTATCTGTCTGGATAACTGCCAGCTGAAAATTGGAGCCACCATTTTCATGGAAGGACCCTCTCTTGTGATTGTTTTCCCCTGCAACTCACATACCTGTGCCTGTAGGGTCAAGGTGGGTTTTCCATCCCACTTCATCACATTCTTTCCATGGTCACACAGGTAAAACCACAGGATGGTACATGTCGTGCACCTGCTATATACTCTCAAGCAGAGGAAAGCTTACTTCTAATGGAAAAAATACTGGTTTGTACAGGTGGAGGAGCCATGAACCAGTTCCTCCACAGCTGAGATACAGGCCTGTAGGGAGGAGGAGAGACTATCTTCGTATTGAAGTAGGCTAGCCACTACATCCACTGTTGGTCTTTTGTTATCTTTCCAGTTCACTCCTGCCAGAGTGATGGTATACGATGATGTTGCATTTCTGTCTGAGTTTCAGCTGTGATGGAGTTGTTTTCTACAGAGTATCTGGTATGATGCTAAGTTTTGGTTCTAGGAGATAAACAATGTTGATAACACACCAATGTTTATAGTTGCCGCTAAGCAGTGTTGTACAGGGCCACGGCCATTCACAGTGAAGGACCCAGGGAGCTGGGAGGGAACAGAATTAGGACAGCTGACTTAAACTGGCCAAAGGGATATTCCATACCATATGACTTCAAGTGGAAGGAGTTTTGAAGGAGGTGGGAGTTCATTTCTCTCTCTCTCTCTCTCTCCTGCTGTTTGGGGGGGGTGGTAAGAAATTACTTGTGCATCACTTGTTGTGTATATTTATATAGAATCATAAGTATTCCCTCTTTCCCCTCTTAGTAAGTTGTCTTATCTCAAGTCACGAGTTCTACTTGAGTTGTTTTTTTGTTTGTTTTATTTTCTCCCCCATCCCACTGGGAAGAGGGGGAATGAGCGAATGTGGTGCTGAGCCATCTGCTGGGTTAAACTACAACAATCTCTGCCACATTGGTCATGTGCATATGTCATCTGGATCTTGGGCGTTGGTATTAATGTCCACATTAATTCCACATATCATCTCTATCACAGCAAATTCCCTCAAGTACTGAATACCTTTCTCCATGGTGGTTCATATGCCTGGGTTACATACCAGGTCTTCCTTGAAAGGATATCTTTTCCTCACAGCTGACAAGAGTCACTGCCATAGAGTGAAAGACTGTCCCTTTTCCAATTGCTTTGTCAATGCCACTTTCCCTAGAAAGAAATCTCAACTGCTTGGCTACTGTCCTGGCTACTGGCCTCACCATCCCAGCACCAGAGCAGCTGGCAGTGTGCTTGCCTGGCTGATGGCTGTAATCTTTTTGCAAATCTTGCAGCTTACACACCATTAGGAATCTGGTTTCTGTCTCTTTCTCCTCCCATTTTTGTGATGGCTCTGCTCCATCTTCACCTTCTTCTGACTTAACAAAGAGAGAAGCTCCTACTAAGTATTCTGACTCTTGTTGACATTTTTTCCTCTTGCTTGTAGAGGCAACTGATACTGGCACTGGTTGGTTCTCTGGTTGAACTGTGGGGCTTGTCCCAGGGATTGGAGTGACCATTGAGCTGATTGTGAGAATTGGGGTGACTGCACAGCCTGTCAGAAGAGTTAGAATAACTGCCTGGCCTATAGCAGTAGTTGGAGCAGACGCAGTACCTGTTGAAGGAACTGGAGGTGCTGTAGCATCTGTCATGGGAGTTGGAGGGCCCACTGCATTGTCATCAGATCCAGAGGTATTCTCTTCCCCAGAGGATGCTGAATAGTACTGAACAGAGCTCAGTAGTCATAGGCCAGGCCCCAGCACACTGCAGTGATTTGTGCCTCTGTAGGACTGCCAGGATGGCAGCAGACCTTTTCCAAGTATTCTACTAGTTTTTCTTGATTCTTCACCCCTGAACAACTGCAGTTTCAAACCATTGGGGGCTGCCCACCACTCTAAGCCCCTGACTATACCATCCCATGCTCCCTGCCACTCAGAACTATCCCACCTCAGGGTAGATCTCTGAGTGATATTCCTAAGTGATTGTTTAATCTTAAACATAACCTGGAACACATCCACGACACATAGCAATAGGAACACACTGGTTTGAACATCCCACAGATATTCAAAACTCTTAGGAGCTATTGTAACTACTTGAAGGAAGGAGAAAGAGAGGCTGAAGAACTGTCGGAAAATGTCCTCGCCTGTCTCCCCCATAGCCTGCCTCTCTTCCAGGAGAGAAAGCAAAGAGTGCAATTAATAAGTCTCCATGAATATGGTTCCTGAAGCCCAGAGATGACTGGGAGGCCGAGTACAGATGCCAGATTAGTTTTCTGACCAGCAATTTTATCACAAAGTAAGGCAAGGCCACACAGCATAGCAAAATAGAAACCTTAATCCAACCCCCAGAGGTGAAAAATAACATAGCAGGGGAAATAAATAGCAAGAGCAAGGTGCTAAACAGTATACTCCCATAAAAAGACTCTCAAGGAGCTCCACAGATAATAACACTATTAGCATGATGACTAGCAATTATCAAACTGCCACAGCAACCCTGTGTTAACATGCTCTGGTCAGATCTGCTGTTATCTCAATACTTGTCTCACATTGGGTGAGAAAATGACTTGTGATTTAACCTGACAGGTGACTAAGCACTACACAGTCAGTTGCTCACTCCCTCCTCCCTTCCCAGTAGGACAGAGGGTAGAATTGGAAAAAGAAAGCAAAGTAAAACTTGTGGGTTGAGATTTAAAAAAAAAAAAAAATACAGGCCAGTCAGTCTCACCTCTGTGCCTGGCAAGATCATAGAGCAGATCCTCCTGAAGGCCCTATGTCAACGGTTTATGGGCTGGTCCGGCCCAGTTCCGTGACCAGCAGGGCGGAGGGATCTGCGGATCCGCGCCTCTGGGAAAGGGGAAGCAGGGGACCCCAAAATACTTGAAAAAAACAACAGCACTGATCTGAGGTGGAACAAATGATTTTACTAAATATAGTATTAGTAAACTACAAAGAGAGAGAGAGAGAGAGTCTGTTTGAATTGTATAGACCTCACCACAATGCTGGGGTGAGAAGTGCAGTCCAGTTGAGTGACTGAAGTACAGACGGCGAAGTGCAGATGGCAAAGCGCAGGCGGCGAAGCGCAGGCGGCGAAGGGCAGATAGCGAAGCGCAGACAGCGAAGAGCAGGCGAAGAAGAAGGATCAGGTGACCTTGCTTGGAGTTATATCCCCTTGCTGACCGCAAAGCCTCCTGGGGAAATGTAGTTCTTCTCCGACAGACGAACATTCGGCAGATATCAAACCCCACCCCCAGTGCATTACATGATGTTATGGTGTGGAATACTGATGACCAAAAATCATAAAACCATGACACCCTACTAAGGCACATGGAAAATAAAGACAAGGTGATTGGTGGTAACCAACATGGTTTCACCAAGAGCAAGTCATGTCTGACAAACTTGGTGGCCTTTTATGATGGAGTTACAGCATCAGTGGATAAAGGAAGAGCAACTGATTTCATCTACCTGGACTTGTGCAAAGTGTTTGACACTGTCCCACACAACATCCTGGTCCCCAAATTGGAAAAAAAAAGGATTTGATGGATGAACCACTCACTGGATAAAGAATTGGCTGCATGGCTGCGCTCAGAGTTGCAGTCAACAGCTCAGTGTCCAAGTAGAGACCAGTGACGAGTGGTGTTCCTCAGGGATTGGTGTTGGATCCGGTGCTATTTAACATCTTTGTAGGTGACATGGACAGCAGGATCGAGTGCACCCTCAGCAAGTTTGCAGACAACGCCAAGCTGAGTGGTGCAGTTCACACACTAGAGGGATACTATCCAGAGAGACCTGGACAGGCTTGAGAGGTGGACCCATGCCAACCGCATGAAGTTCAGCAAGGCCAAGTACAAGGTCCTGCACCTGGGTTGGGGCAATCTCAAGCACAGATACAGGTTGGGAAAAGAATGGCTTGAGAGCAGCCCTGAGGAAAAGGATTTGGGGGTGTTGGTTGATCAAAGATTCAACAGGAGCTGGCAATGCCTGCTTGCAGCCCAGAAGGCCAACTGTATCCTGGGTTGCATCAAGAGAAGCATGACCAGCAGGTCGAGGGAGGTGATTCTGCCCCTCTACTCTGCTCTTGTGAGACCCCACCTGGAGTTCTCTGTCCAGTTCTGGACCCCCCAACACAAAGAGGACATGGAGTTGTTGGAACAGGTCCAGAGGAGGGCCACAAAGACAATCAGAGGGCTAGAACACCTCTCCCATGAGGACAGGCTGAGAGAGCTAGGGCTTTTCAGCCTGAAGATGACTCCAGGGGGACCTTATATCCTTCCAGTACCTGAAGGGGGCCTACAGGGAAGCTGGGGAGGGACTTCTTATAAAGGCATGTAGCAGCAGGACAAGGGGAAGTGGTTTTTTAACTAGAAGAGGGTATATTTAGACTAGATATTAGGAAAAAAATTTTTACTGTGAGGATAGTGAGACACTGGAACAGAGTACCCAGTGAGGTTATGAATGGCCCTTCCCCAGAAGCATTCAAGGCCAGGCTGGATGAGGCTTTGAGCAATCTAGTCTAAAAGGACACGTCCCCACCTATAGCAGAGGAGTTGGAACTAGATGATCTTAAAGGTCCCTTCCAACCCAAACCATTATATGAAGGGATCTGAGCTGCTTTGGAAGTGGTACTGAAATAAAGCTCCTTTTGGCACCCTGACTACCTGTGCTAGATGCTCAGAAGGGAACAGTCTCCACCACACATCATACAGTTGATGGGACATAGAGTAAGTGAGTTACACCAATCATGCAACAGGCTCATAAAAGGAATCTCAGAAAGCTAGGAATCTTAGAAGCAATTATGGACTAACACTCTGCTTGCAAAGAAACAAAACCGCTTCTGGCAAGTTCTCGGCAGCACCAGGTAAAGTGTTTAGAAGTAGACTAATAATTACATACTGAAAAAAGAATGGAACCCACCCAGCTAGCAAAGGAATTCTTTAACCACACAACACACCTCCACAAAAAGCAACCAAAGCTTTCCATGGCTAGCCCTAATATGAGCCCAGGGTGGCTCCACCCCCTTCTGGTCACATGGGGGAGCACAGGTGCAAACAATTTGCCTGTGCTCCCTAGGCCAGCCACACCCTTTCACCAGGTGTTCAATCACCAGTTAAAGCTGTGACCTAGCAGTTCCCCTACAATTGATTTGAAAGCAAAGATTTTAGAATCTCTAAAGGGAAAAGAAGTTAACACATGCTGAAATGTCTCCACTATATAATAAGCTGAGTGAATGTCTCTAATAAGCACATAAGTTGTTGTTTATGGATTATGTTTTAGAATAGTTGGCTGCTCTCATGTTCAGTGAACATTTCACTGATGATTGTTTTAAATGTGATGTAGTTAGTTTAGTTTTCAAAGTCTATTTCTGTGGACAACCAAGCTTACGTTCTCCTGAACTAAGCGATGTTTGATTGTATGGATTTATATTCTACAGAGCTGTGCTGTTAAGTACAAGTTACGTATTTATTCTTTAATCGAATCCCATGTTAGCTTTAGGCAGGATAATATGCAAATACTAGGCAAGCGATAAGCTGATTGAATAGAAGTTGTGCTTGTTTGCATTTTGCTTGTGGGCCCCGTAGTAACTTTTTCAACATTTCCTAACTTAACCTGGAATGTATGTTTAAGAACAATAAAAAAGTCATTTTGTCCACCTCGTGATATTTTAGTACAAGCAACAAAGTAAATGTAATGCTTACAAAGCCATGTATGTAGAGCAATCGCTAATATAATTTTACAGATTTAAGGTTTATGCTGTAAAACACATAATCATACAAACTGTAGTAATAAACTACACTTATCAATGAAGCCCTTAAGATTTCGTATTTAACTTTATTTCAAGTAAGATTCAAATGAACTGTGACTTTTTATATCTTGTTTTTGATTGTTGAGTGTGGTCTCAGAATAGAAATAGAAGCTGGCAAATTCCGAGCTGTGTGGGTTTTTAATCAAACAGCTGGAAAATAATAGCATTCTCTGTAATCGTTATTTAAAGTAAGAGAATAATCATGTTTGCTAAGGGTAACAAGGCCTTTATGACTGGAAAAAGCATTTATTTGGTTAGTTCAAAAATTCGGGGAGTCTAACGTGTTATATATTAATTCGGGGTGGACTGTTTATCTTAGCTTTTGTGTTTTGGGATTTTTTTTAGTTGTTTGTCCAGTCCAATCATGGTGATGAAGAGGCAACAAGAATTACATACTTGACATTTATTGGAACTCCAGTCCAAGCAACAAATATGAGTGACTTCAAGCGGGTGAGTCTTTGTTTCTTAAAAGCACTTATGAGTGTTTTAAATCTACCCCAAAATGAGTCAACTGAACAAATACACTTGGTTGTTGTTGTAATTCTGCTACTTAAGGTAGATTTGGCATCCAGAAAAAAGCATGTTGCTTTATCTTACAGCTCTTTGGTCTTGCCTTTAAGTTTTTGTTCTTTAACTGTTTTGGTGGTGTCTTTTTTTCTTTTCTGTTTGTTTGTTTTAAAGAAAACAAGTAAAAACATATACATCAACTACTGAAAACATGAGGGAGTGTCAAGTTATGCATATTCCAGACAGTGTTGTTTCTTAACAGCTGTGAGGTTTGTACCTTAATTTCAAAACTTGTATGCTGCTGGTGTTCAGAAAGCAGGAAAGCAAGCCTCAGTATGAAATAGACTCCTTGTGATCGGCTTGACTTCTGCTTTGGTGATGGATTTCATGGATTTATTCAATGGGCAGTGTTATGTTGAGATCCAAAATAACTTTTGGTCACAAGGTGACAGTTACATTAAACATACCTGCGTTTTTTAACAGTAAATGAGGAATCCAACACCTTTTTATGGTGTGACTTTAGGCCCACAAACACTGAACAATAAAGCATTCTCATTTCTTTTTTGAGAATGTGAAATGGGTTTAAAAGTATTGAAACTTTTTGAAAGAAAGCTGTAAGTATTTTTAGAAAATAAGATTTAAAGCTAAACTGCTTTAAAGCTTACCCTGGTTTACAAAAACAAAGAGTGCTGTAACACCACCGCCTCCAAACTGAGCAGCCCAAGCAACCACTGACATTGAAAGACTGCAGAATTTATTACATGAATCACCTATAATTTCAGAAGGCTAAAAATGCTAACAGCTACTACATGTCATGTACTTGGAATTTTTAATGTTGAAACTCAGTTTTCTACATTTAAAATGTAATAAAGTTAATGAATAAAAAAAAGTTTAACAAGGTCTTGCTGCCTTTTACTGAATAGGAAGTCAATGAAAAAGAAACTCTAATCTACTAAAATTAACTGGATATCAATTTTAGATGTTTCCAATGGCACACCTCCATTTTACTTTGTATGGCAACTACTGAGTCACAGCCTGAACCTCTGATTGGTCACCTGAGGTGAGCCATGAGTCAGCCAGAGGAGCAGAGGTGAAGGCAATTCATCTGTGCTGCTAGAAGGGGGGGAGCCTGGCTCCACCCCTCTTAAACCTATTTAAGAGCTGTCTACTAGTAGGGAAGGATCTCTTCTGGAGATCACCTCTGCTGGTGTTTTGTGAGTGAGCCCAAGATAGGGGTAAGCCTTCTATTTATTCTCTTTTTGTTGTCATAGTCTGCTTTGTCAAACTCTCTTGTTTATTTCATAATTATAACATCTTAATATTCATTGATTATACATACTTGAAACTTAGAAATAGGTTAATTCATTTAAAATCTGATTAGATGGGGTTTTTTGTTTGTTTTGTACAGCTTTTTTTAAGTACTTAATATAGTAGGACAGTACCGTGCAGTGAGTTGTGCCATTACTATTTAACATCCCATGATTGATCTACATTACTTCTCTGTTTTTTTGGTTTTTTTTTTTTTTTGGAAGAAAATGACACTCATGCTGATAGTTTCAATATTTGATCTGTCTGCATTCCTATTCTCCGTCCACTTTGTAAATGTTTTACTTTCTGAATGTTTATTCTGAAAGGTAAGTTCTTTAAACTTGATAATCTAATTGTGATTTTTTTTTTTTTTTTTTTTTTTTCAATTGATAATTTTGATTGAGGTAAACTTGACAAACAATTTATGGCTTCTGTGGGATGTTAGGTGGGTTTGTGACTAGTGGTGAGCCATGTGATGTTTCTTATATTTTATTTTGCAGTAACGAAATACTAGCTTGGTGGATGCAGTGCTCATATACTGCCTTAGTCTGAAGCTGTAACAACCTTAGTTCCAGTCAGTGTTGTTTAAGGGAGACTTTTTTAATTTCTATGTACAGTTCAGATTTAAGTACTTAAGGGTGGTCAAGAATCAAACACACTACTTCACTAGGAGGCAGGTGGAGAAGTGAAGCAGCAACAGATGCAGGCGGCACAGAGAGAGGTTACATCTTGAGGTAACAGAGAAATAGTTTGGCAGTCAGAACAACTAATCCCTGAAGCAGGCTCTGTAGGGCCATGGTGGAATCCCCATCCCTGGAGGCTTTTGAGGTGCTGTGGGACAGGGCATTTCAGATGGCACGCTTTGTCCACAAAGAGCTGGAGCTGATGGTCTTTCAGGGTCCCTTTCCAGCCTGGGCTATCATTCTGAGTACACGTGCAACCCCATGAAGATGCTAAAAAAAAAAAATATAGTGAGTCTCATCTGTTTGTTGTAGTTAACGGGATTTTTAAGTCTTCCTCAGTTCTAGGTGCAGTGAAGAGGGGTGGAAGCTGCTACATAGTCTGTAAAATACCACACTGGTTACAATTTAGGTTTGCTTAAAGTTCACGTGTGAGTGCCTGCACCACTGAGAAATGTGATTTGTGCCACGTTGGAACAGAAGGGGAAAGAAGAACTAGGCGACAAGACCTATATCTCCCTTAAACATGAACCCTGTGTAGTGCTGCACTGGTAACAACAGGATATTGAGGAACTGCTCAGAACTATCTTACAGAAGAACATGTACTGCTAGCTTACACAGGGAAGCTAATTGCCCCCTCAATTCAAATGCTTCACAACACCATACATAACATTCCTATTTTACTTCAGGAACATGGAGTTGAACATAAGGATGCTGAAGTATGTTAACATAACAAATGAGACGTGCAGTCTGGTAGAGTTACACTGCTCTTAGAAGTATTAACTTGTATCCTCTCTTCCAGTGATCCAATCAGCTATAAGAACTTAATATAATGTTGGGCATTAATTACATTTAGGCTTGTAAAATAACAAGATGTCTCAATCTGTATGGGAACTACTGAGTCACAGCCTGAACCTCTGATTGATCACCTGAGGCGAGCCATGAGTCAGCCAGAGGAGCACAGGTGAAGGCAATTCACCTGTGCTGCCAGAAGGGGGGGAGCCTGGCTCCACCACTCCTAGACCTATTTAAGAGCTGGCTACCGGAGGGGGAGGATTTCGTCTGGAGATCACTTCTTCTGGTGCTTTCTGTAGGTGAGCCTAGCATACAGGTAAGCCTTCCATTTATTCTCCTTATCTTAGTCTACTTTGCCTAACTCTCTTGTTCTTTTGTGATTATAACATCTTAATATCCACTGATGGTACATCTTAATATCCATTGATAATACACTTGGCGAGCCAGGCAGGCCAAATATACTAAAATTTACATCGTGTCTTTTCTTTGGAATTTCTATAAATGGGTCAAGGGGGAGAAAAATACTCCACTACAGAAAATGATTTCAGGGCAGATCCCAGGATTTGAGGGATCTGCCTATTATGAGTTAGTAGTGATCATTGAAAAATGGGGTCCCTTAGGTGTTATGGGTAATATCTCCCCATATTGCATGGCGGATAATTACAAAGACTTAGCAAGGATGTGCTCATCACTAAAGAAAGACGACTGGCTGCCTCCACGGTGGCATGGCCACTATTAAGTGCCCTAAATCATGAGGTTATAAGAAATAATACTTCAGAAAATGAAAATCAACTTCTAAAAGACGGTACTGAAAAACTGGAGCATGAACTTGGTGTTTTAACAGGGAAGAAGCCAATTCTACATCTTCCTGTAGGCCAAGTTCATAACATTTTAATAAACGATGACCAGACTCCTGAATCAACAGACTTAGTTGATCAGGAAAACAACAAATCCAAATCAGACCTTGAATATCCAATTCTGACCGATCCACTGGAAGTCCATCGTGTCATAACCCAGAAAATAAAAAAAAGTGCAGGACAGACCGGCAGGGGTGCTGCCTGATCAGTGGGCCCCCTGCCCAGACTCATTTACATGTAACGGCTCAGCCATACACGGCAACAGAATTCATGGGTTTAGTACAGCGACTTCGGCAGAAGCATAGAGAAAGTGTGCCGGGTTGGTTACTAAGACTGTGTCATGGAGTTGACCAGATCAAACTATGTCTGTGGCAGGGGCGACAGGCCTCTGCCCCCCCC